TGGGATAGAATAAGAAACGGTTATAATAATTTTAATTGCGGCAAATGTGATTGTCTTTTTTTGATTTTTATTAGATAGCTGCTGAAAATGGAAATAGATGTAAATACTCCAAGTACTGGTTCAATAAGGTCATAAGGAACGTCAAGTCTCAGCACATAAGAACTGTGTGGTCAATTAGTAGTTTAGGTAAGCTTATTATTAATAATCAATTAGATTGATCAACTGACGTAGATCCAACGGGAAATAAGTTGAAATTATTTAAGAAAATATTGGTTGTTATATATAAGACACTGGAATACAGGATGACAAGAAGCCACAGTGACCTTGTGAGCCGAAATTCTTTTAAATGGTGTTAACGGCGCTCGCAGTAAAAACACGAACATCTGTTATATTCTTGTTTAGGCTTATCCATATCCAGGTTTAAAGTTTATGGGCGTTCTATTCTTCAATTTTCTCAGCGATAACATTAAAATTGGCTAAAAACTTGCATTCATCAATGCGTCCAATTGATTCAGATATGCACAGCCTTCTACCAAAAATTACGAAGAATGTGAAATCAAAATAGTTTTAAAAAGCTAATTGAGTATTCGATATTCCTACTACTTTACCTACTCATATGAACCCAACGGTTCTACCTTAAAACGGGACCTTAATTTCTTGTTAGTTAGGAAATTATTTTCTACCCATAAGAAATGGCATAAAGTGTTTAATCTTGACACTGAAAACTTCCGTAAAAAAAAAAATTAAGTAAGTATTTGGCAGCTGCAAAAGATTTGTTTGAGTATATCTTTTTCCTTTAGCCGTATAACTTCTACATTATTTATAACAGCGATTTCTAAATCTTTTCATGAACGTGTCTGTTTAGTCAGGATCTTGATGTCAGCTCTTATTTCACTAAATAAGTTGGGCTAGGTTATACCGGCGATCCTTAGGGCATTCACATAGGCCTATTGGGCCATTGTGTTACCGTATATAGAGGAAAACTCAGGTTTTAAAACCACATTGAACTTTTGGCAAAGATCAAAATGCTATTTAGTGGCAGGTTTTCTAACTGAACAAGATCAGATAAGAGGAACTCTTATCTTTCCCCCAGCTGCGACAGCTATGATTGAAGGGTACATTCAATCTTCTAGCATGGTGCCCTAGTAGTTCATTAAGTAAGCTTCTTTTCTTCTATCAGTAAGAAATCGAATGACACGATATCTAATCGGTAATAAAAAAGAGGACATTTAAAAAAAAACTTGGTTTAAGTAATATGTAGCAATTTAAGAGAAATCAAAATACAAAAATAGGCAAAGAAAACGACAAACAGTTACCGATAGAGAAAAGTGTTTGTAGAATATTTATAAAAGCACTGGTCTTATGCTTATAAATGATATGTCTACTATTTCTTCTGATAATAAAAGTAAAAACTATTTAAGAGCAATAAGAATACAAAGTTGAAGAAGGGAGTCGATGAATGGGAACCAAATTGAGAGAAGTGATTGGAAAAGTATTCTAACAAAGAAGATGTCTATGGATGGCTATTGCCATCCTTTTAGAAAAGGAAAAACATTAGATTATAGGTTGTCTTTTTTTATATTTCAAGTTATTTTAGTGTATGACAACATTAACTGTCGATTACGGTATTATATTAGTAAGACTTTAATTTAGTCAATAGATAAATATATTTAACTATTTTTATTCTATGCATATAAACTGCATATAAATTTATTTTTATTGTGTTTGTTTTAATTTTATATCAGTACAGTATAAAAGAATTCAAGCTATGTATTTATGTATGTTTAGAAAGTATTTTAATTAGTTTACAGTACATTGAGTCACTATTTACTATGGAGGAAACCATTGTAAGCGTACGCCACTGCCTTTGACACAAAAAATTTGCAAAGAGGGTTGAGGTGTTATGAAACTAGTAAGAAACTAAAATGTTTCATTTATTGAATAAATAAAAAGTGGCTTTTAAGAATCACCAACAAATATGCAAATTGCTATAGTAACAGACAACAAAAGAACATAGAAACAACAGCTACCAGCTACCAGCTACCAACTACCAACTAATAGCGAACAGCCAAGAACCAAGTATTTCATATTCTGTTCGATTTTTGAGTTTATTGAACTAAAAATTACATAATGCAGAAATAAGAGCAAACAATTTTTACACAGTTTTGCTTTCAACGAATGTTTTGAATGAATTCCAGTCGTACTTGCACCAACAAAACTTTCGACTGAATCACACCCAATACTGAGTACAGTACAAAAAAAAATCGTTAATTATATAAATTGATATGTATTAAGCATTTATCAGGACGTTTTATCTTGGTCGACACATGTGCGATGCATTATAAAGTGCAACCGAAAGTTGTCCTTTACTATAAGTCCATGTATTTCATTTTTTTCCGACCCACCCTAACCCACACACACCTGTATTTATTTACTTTTCTTACGACTGTCAATAAAAACGTTCGAAATTGCACCCCCGTTTTTGCTATTAATGGTCTTGGATCACATAAACTGTACTTTTTTACCTAAATTGCATTGTTTTTTTGTATCAATTAAGCAAACCATTGAATGGACTCTGTCTCCGAATCCGAATCCGAGTAAGGGTAATTTTATTAGTATGATAGGGGCTACGTACGGACAATATGCGCCCGGTAACAATGAGTCATGCCAACTCGCATTAGATAATAAAACTAGTGAAACCACAAATTGGTATGATTATTTTTAGAAAATCAAGAAACGTTAAAATAGAAGAGAAAGTTGTCAGGACATTGTTTGTGCCAAGTCACGAGACAGATTTGCTGTGAAATGCATTCAGTTTTTATTACATTGATGTGTTAAGTTAATATAAGCAATAATCTTCTTTATGTACATTTTGATATCATTTATTTATAAGCTTTTCATTGCTATTAAAGAAGATTACTATATACAGGGTGTTGTTTTAAAATATAACAGCTAAAACTTTTTTCTAGATTTATTTAAGGCATATATGTGCAAATTTGAACACCGTTTTTCTTGTAGACAACTGGATCTCTATCAATAACAATACAGGGTCATGTTTTCATAGGTTGTTTTTAAATATAACGGCACCGAAACAGTTGACATCACTGTGTAACAAAAAAGAAGTTTCATTTTCTTTTTTCCGATCCTACAACCGTTAATTTGAGGCTACTAGGTTCAAATCTATTCTTCTACACTCTGAGTCTTTGCCAATAACTGGTACGTTTCAAATATTTTAAGGAATTAAAAATAAAACAAATAATTTATTTAATTTAAGAGTTAAGAAATTCATGTCTTTTTGCTATAAATAAAATAGATAAGAATCTTTAACTTACCATAATTCTTCTTTTTCCCTCTCAAAAAGAGAGAGTGTCAAAAAAACTATGTGAAGAATTTTTTTTCTTCTGAGAGAAGAAGAATAATATGAAAGGAATTTGTCTAATATAAAATGTTTATTTTTTTTAAGAAGTTTATTGAATATACATAATTTGTCTCTTGGAATAAAAAATTTTTTGTCAATCCTTTGACATATCAAATTTTGAGGCCTTACTTGCTATTGATATCAAGATGTCTTCGAGAAGAACAGTCCACAAATTTGAGATAAGTAGGCTTAAGATAATCTACAATATAACCGTTAAGAAATAAATAAGATTTGGTATCATACTGTGTAATTAATCTGAAATCTTACACTATCTTTTTAAGACATAATTTTGGCAAGGTTTAAAATAATATTTAGTGAAAAATGTTTATAATGTAGCTCACTGTTCGGACATATGTTTTTGCAAGATGATTCACCAAAATTAGTTCTTATGCTATCAGCATATATAAATAAAGAACTAAAGCCGGTCTAGCAACTACTAATGCACTCTTCAAAATTTACTGTTTAATGGAACGTTCTATGGTCCTATGGAATTATTGGGTTAAACTTATTAGAAATTAAGAAAATGATAATGCATTGAATGAATTTTGTTATATTATCGGAGAAATTATAATAGCTATTAACGCCGAAATTCGATGGTATTAAGATAGAGCTGTGTGATTTATCGCTGGTGAATTACGAGTATTTTTTGTCCAAGTATTTGATCAATAAAGTAAATCAAAAACAATTTTGAGCATATGTAAGATGTAGCCATAAATATTTAAAAAATTTGAGAAAAATTTAAGTTCCAGATAGTCGTTTTTGAAACGTTTTAGTAATCCAAACCATTTTTGGTTATAACTGCTATAAAATTGTCTCTCGAATGAAAAAGTATTTGACTTATTTGTTAAAATTGTTTTAATTTTTTTCGATTTAAAATTTTACAGCTCTCAAAAAATAGAGTTTATATATATATATATCTCAATATATATAGAGTATAGTACATAGTAATATTGAGTAATTTATAGCTATAGCAATATTTCTTCTTCTAGGACGTTCTGATGAAGCATTTATTGTTGAAGAAAATATATTATAATCGTTATTTTATTAATAAAATGGAAAGTCAGCCATTTAAAGCATCACTTAATTATAATTATACTACTTATTGCATTATATGTATATATAGTATTAAATATTATTAATGTGTAATAATTTCTTTTCTAAGTCTGATAATATAAATTTGTTTTCTTCGGACAATGCATCCATTTCATCGTCTTCATCAGTATGGTTT